CCGCAACTCCACCGCAGCGGTCCCCCGCCCTCCCGGCTCGGGGAGCCGTGTGGCAGCTCCCCACCCCAGCTCACCTCTGCTCCGCCTCCTTCCCGAGCACGCCGCCCCTGCTCTAATTCTCCTCCCCTCCCAGGCTTGCGGCGCCAATCAGCTGTTTGGCGCCGCAAGCCTGGGAGGCGGGAGAAGTGGAGCGGTGACCGGCGCGGCAGCCCACCCCAGGAACACTATAAAAAAAAATTGGGGGCACCGCTTTTTGGTGCCCCCAAATCTTGGTGCCCTAGGCAACCGCCTAGTTTGCCTTAATGGTAGCACCGTCCCTGGCCGTCCCTACCCATATGCAAAGTACGCAGCTGCGTAGGGCACCAGGAAATTTGGTGCCCCAAATTTCCTGGTGCCTTGTGCAGCTGCTCCAGCCCCGCCCCGCCTCTTCCCCATGGCCCCCAATCCTGCTCTGCCCCAGCCCCGCCCCTTCCTGCCCCTGCCCCGCCCCATCCCTGCCTCTTCCCGCCCCTGCTCTGCCCCAGCCCTGCCCCCACTCCCCTGAGGACTGAAGCAGGGCCGGTCCTACACTCACCAGCGGCGGGAAGTGCAGCAACCCAGCCCCAGCTGCGCCACCAGTGAGTGCTGTGGGGCAGTTCCCCCTGCCACCAAGCCAGCCCGCCCCCCCCCCACAGAGGCCTGGGGCCCCACACACATCCCCTGCAGGGGGGCTGCCTAGGTCCCCAGGATAGCTAGGGATGGCCCTGCTCATTCACTTAGAGAAACAGATGACGAACATGAAATATGGTACTCAAATACACACATTGGCAGCTGATGCACTGTACTTCAAAGTAGCACCCTGTGACCCCCATATTGATCACTGGTAGATGGTTGTGATAGTTCCTAGAAGGCATGCCTTGCAAGATATCATATGAAAGGTCATGATCTGCTAAAACTCATTGTTCTGTCAAAAGATGTATATGATCATTGTATATAGAATCATGGCTGGCGGGTATAATAGGCCAGGGGAGGCTCGGCCTCCCCTAGCACAGCTGCTGCTGCCAGACTCTGGTTGTGGGTTTGGCGGGGGAAATTTTGGTTTTTATTATGCCCCATGCAAGTTCCAGGGTGGCTAAGGAGGCCCTATGTGTTACTCAGCTTCCTGGGTTCATCAGTAATCTCCCTGGAGTCCAGGGAGACTTCTGATGAACCCAGGAAGGTGAGTAACACATATTGCCTCCTCAGCCATCCTGGAACCTGCGTGGGGCATAGCAAAAGCTCAGGTTCTTCTTCCAGAAGAGAAAAGAAGAGAAGAGCTTTTGAATTCTCCCATGAGGAAGCCTGGGGTCCGTGGAGGGGAGGCGTGACTGCAGCGCCTCTGGCCAGCCTGAGGCTCCTCCGAGAAGGTTGGGTGGGGGGCTAACGGCTCCGGTTGGCCTGGGGCTCCTGTGGCCATGGGGGGCAGGGGGTCTCATGGCTCTGGCTCCGGCCACAGAGGAGGGCTCGTAGCTCTGGGCATGGGGGGGGGGGAGGCAGGGAGTGTTGGGGCTCCAGCCATGAAGAGGGAGCAGGGGGTCTCGGGGCTTCAATGCCCCAGGGGGTGGGTGGGCAGAAGGGGCGGAGCCAAGGTGGGACTCCCCCCGCCACCCATGTATAGAATTATGATATTCTGCTATAGGGTTGTTATTGAAATATGCTGTGTGTCCAGAAGATGCCCACAGCTAGCTCCCCAGTGGCAACAAGGAAGGTGACCCACACCCAAACAGGCATTAAGCGACCATCACAAGCCATTGACCAGCAGGGGAATTGTAAACAGGAGATTTACAATTCTGTAAGAGACAGTTGCTCAG